AATGACAATGACATTGAATGTACACGACACATTGTTTAAACTGGAATCTTCAAATATATAGGTTACAGTTGTGGTACCAATTTCAAAGCTACTATTTGATTCGTGAGATTCGAAAGTCATGTTTACTATGCCTGAGTTATCAGTTGCTGTTGGAGCTGTCCACGTCACCACTGCACTGTCCATACCATCATTTGTGGTCTGTGTTATATCAGCTAGACAATACGCAACTGGGTCCTCAGTATCTGCAATAAGATAAATTCATATAGGTAATGATACATACTCTATGTAGCTCACATATTGTATTCTGTTTTCAACAATTACATCAACATTATACAAATACTCACCAATGACAATGACATTGAATGTACACGACACATTGTTTAAACTGGAATCTTCAAATATATAGGTTACAGTTGTGGTACCAATTTCAAAGCTGCTATTTGATTCGTGAGATTCTAAAGTCATGTTTACTATGCCTGAGTTATCAGTTGCTATTGGGGCTGTCCACGTTACCACTGCACTGTCCATACCATCATATGTGGTCTGTGTTATATCAGTTGGACAATACGCAAGTGGGTCCTCATTATCTGCAATAAAATAAATTGATATATTTTCACAGCTGCTTTTGTATGTCAAGAAAATGATACATACTCTATGTTTCTCACATATTGTATTGTGCTTTCAAAAGATTACATGAACATTATGCAAATACTCACCAATGACAATGACATTGAATGTACACGACACATTGTTTAAACTGGAATCTTCAAATATATAGGTTACAGTTGTGGTACCAATTTCAAAGCTACTATTTGATTCGTGAGATTCGAAAGTCATGTTTACTATGCCTGCGTTATCAGTTGCTATTGGTGCAGTCCACGTTACCACTGCACTGTCCATACCAACATCTGTGGTATGTGTTATATCAGCTGGACAATACGCACCGGGTCCTCATTATCTGCAATGAAATAAATTCATATATTTCCACAACTGCTTTTGTATGTCAAAAAAAAAGTTACATACTCTATGTTGCTCACATATTGTATTGTGCTTTCAAAAGATTACATGAACATTATGCAAATACTCACCAATGACAATGACATTGAATGTACACGACACATTGTTTAAACTGGAATCTTCAAATATATAGTTTACAGTTGTGGTACCAATTTCAAAGCTGCTATTTGATTCGTGAGATTCGAAAGTCATGTTTACTATGCCTGAGTTATCAGTTGCTATTGGAACTGTCCACGTTACCACTGCACTGTCCATACCATCATCTGTGGTATGTGTTATATCAGCTGGACAGTGCGCAACTGGGTCTTCATTATCTGGAATGAGATTCCATCATTCTAGTTAATTGCTTGCTTATTAGATTATATAAGGAAAATATTATATGCAATATGGTGTATTTTAAATTCATTAATATACATACTCTTTCTCACAAGTATTATATTGTCCTTTCAACAATTACATTAACACTATACAAATACTCACCAATGACAATGACATCGAATATACACGACACATTGTTTAAACTGGAATCTTCAAATATATAGGTTACAGTTGTGGTACCAATTTCAAAGCTACTATTTGATTCGTGAGATTCGAAAGTCATGTTTACTATGCCTGAGTTATCAGTTGCTATTGGAGCAGTCCACGTTACCACTGCACTGTCCATACCATCATTTGTGGTATGTGTTATATCAGCTGGACAATACGCAACTGGGTCCTCAGTATCTGCAATAAGATGAATTCATATAGGTAATGATACATACTCTATGTAGCTCACATATTGTATTCTGTTTTCAACAATTACATCAACATTATACAAATACTCACCAATGACAATGACATTGAATGTACACGACACATTGTTTAAACTGGAATCTTCAAATATATAGGTTACAGTTGTGGTACCAATTTCAAAGATACTATTTGATTCGTGAGATTCGAAAGTCATGTTTACTATGCCTGAGTTATCAGTTGCTATTGGAGCAGTCCACGTTACCACTGTACTGTCCATACCATCATCTGTGGTATGTGTTATATCAGCTGGACAATACGCAACCGGGTCCTCATTATCTGCAATGTTATAAATTCATATATTTCCACAGCTGCTTTTGTATGTCAAGAAAATGATACATACTCTATGTTGCTCACATATTGTATTGTGCTTTCAAAAGATTACATGAACATTATGCAAGTACTCACCAATGACAATGACATTGAATGTACACGACACATTGTTTAAACTGGAATCTTCAAATATATAGGTTACAGTTGTGGTACCAATTTCAAAGCTACTATTTGATTCGTGAGATTCGAAAGTCATGTTTACTATGCGTGAGTTATCAGTTGCTATTGGAGCAGTCCACGTTACCACTGCACTGTCCATACCATCATCTGTGGTATGTGTATATCAGCTGGACAGTGCGCAACTGGGTCTTCATTATCTGGAATGAGATTCCATCATTCTAGTTAATTGCTTGCTTATTAGATTATATAAGGAAAATATTATATGCAATATGGTGTATTTTAAATTCATTAATATACATACTCTTTCTCACAAGTATTATATTGTCCTTTCAACAATTACATTAACACTATACAAATACTCACCAATGACAATGACATCGAATATACACGACACATTGTTTAAACTGGAATCTTCAAATATATAGGTTACAGTTGTGGTACCAATTTCAAAGCTACTATTTGATTCGTGAGATTCGAAAGTCATGTTTACTATGCCTGAGTTATCAGTTGCTGTTGGAGCTGTCCACGTCACCACTGCACTGTCCATACCATCATTTGTGGTCTGTGTTATATCAGCTAGACAATACGCAACTGGGTCCTCAGTATCTGCAATAAGATAAATTCATATAGGTAATGATACATACTCTATGTAGCTCACATATTGTATTCTGTTTTCAACAATTACATCAACATTATACAAATACTCACCAATGACAATGACATTGAATGTACACGACACATTGTTTAAACTGGAATCTTCAAATATATAGGTTACAGTTGTGGTACCAATTTCAAAGCTGCTATTTGATTCGTGAGATTCTAAAGTCATGTTTACTATGCCTGAGTTATCAGTTGCTATTGGTGCAGTCCACGTTACCACTGCACTGTCCATACCAACATCTGTGGTATGTGTTATATCAGCTGGACAATACGCAACCGGGTCCTCATTATCTGCAATGAGATAAATTCATATATTTCCACAGCTGCTTTTGTATGTCAAAAAAATGTTACATACTCTATGTTGCTCACATATTGTATTGTGCTTTCAAAAGATTACATGAACATTATGCAAATACTCACCAATGACAATGACATTGAATGTACACGACACATTGTTTAAACTGGAATCTTCAAATATATAGTTTACAGTTGTGGTACCAATTTCAAAGCTGCTATTTGATTCGTGAGATTCGAAAGTCATGTTTACTATGCCTGAGTTATCAGTTGCTATTGGAACTGTCCACGTTACCACTGCACTGTCCATACCATCATCTGTGGTATGTGTTATATCAGCTGGACAGTGCGCAACTGGGTCTTCATTATCTGGAATGAGATTCCATCATTCTAGTTAATTGCTTGCTTATTAGATTATATAAGGAAAATATTATATGCAATATGGTGTATTTTAAATTCATTAATATACATACTCTTTCTCACAAGTATTATATTGTCCTTTCAACAATTACATTAACACTATACAAATACTCACCAATGACAATGACATCGAATATACACGACACATTGTTTAAACTGGAATCTTCAAATATATAGGTTACAGTTGTGGTACCAATTTCAAAGCTACTATTTGATTCGTGAGATTCGAAAGTCATGTTTACTATGCCTGAGTTATCAGTTGCTGTTGGAGCTGTCCACGTCACCACTGCACTGTCCATACCATCATTTGTGGTCTGTGTTATATCAGCTAGACAATACGCAACTGGGTCCTCAGTATCTGCAATAAGATAAATTCATATAGGTAATGATACATACTCTATGTAGCTCACATATTGTATTTCTGTTTCAACAATTACAT